CAACCAATGCTGATTTCAACTCCATAAAAGCTTGAAAAGCACTGTCGGACCATATGAAATTGTCCTTTTTCAGCAACTCAGTGAGAGGTCTACTAATGATTCCATATCCCTGAATAAACTTTCTGTAATAACCTGCCAGACCTAAAAGATCCCCTTAATTGTTTGAGGGTACTAGGAACAGGCCAACTCTGAACAACCTGGATCTTCCTTTGATCAGTGGAAACCCCTTCATAGGAAATAAAATGCCCCAAGTATTCGACCTTTGAAACCCCAAACACACACTTTGATTGCTTCGCCAACAACTGATGGTGGATCATAAGGTCAAAAACTGACTTAAAATGGTTAACATGATCCTGTAATGACCTGCTATAAATCAGAATGTCATCAAAAAACACTAATACAAATTTCCTTAAATGCTGCTGGAAAATGTGATTCATTAAACATTGGAATGTAGAAGGTGCATTAGTTAAGCCAAAAGGCATAACGAGGAACTCATAATGACCAAGATGAGTTTTGAAAGCAGTTTTAGGGACATCATCAACTACCATCCTAATCTGGTGATAACCAGATCTCAGATCCACCTTGGAAAATACTCTTGCTCCTGTCAGCTCATCCAAAAGATCATCAATAATAGGTATAGGAAACTTGTCCTTTACCGTGCACTTATTAAGCTCTCTATAGTCGACACACAATCTCCATGTGCCATCCTTCTTTCCCACAACCACCACTGGAGAAGAGAAGGGGCTGTTACTATATTGAATAACACCTTGTTGGAGCATATCATTGACCAACTTCTCTATAATATCCTTCTTCATAGCTGAGTATCTGTAAGGTCTGATATTGACAGGTTTGGCTCCATTTTGTAGAGGGATCTTATGATCAAATGGACCCCTTGGAGGAGGTAAGATTGTAGGTTCAGAAAATATCTTATGATATTGATCAAGTAAAACACCAATTTCAGATGCTATGGTTTCCTCCTTCAATATCTGTAAAGCAAAGTTCTGTCCCACAACGATTTCCCCATTCATAACTGGCAACATTTGTAACATGAATAATTCAACCTCATCTCCTGATAACTTGTTCACAGCTTTGGAACTAGCCAGCCTACAATCTTCATGCACCCCCTTAAGTACATGTTTCTTTCCTTGGTGATTGAAGGACATAGTAAGTTCTGTAAAGTCCATGGTCACTGGACCCAATGTCTTCATCCACAATGCTCCCAGAACAATATCATATCGACCAATAGGGAACACTATTAAATCCGACTGATAAGTAATGCCCTGCAGCATCCACCCAAAGTCCTTAACTACTCCAGTTGTGGTCTCCTTAGCATTGTTGCCAAGACTCACATAGCTCGTGGGAGTAGGAACAACAGTGCATCCCAACCTTTTCACACAATCTTTATCAATAAAATTGTGTGTACTACCTCCATCAAGTAATATCTGAACTGGTCTCTTACCACTATATCCCTTCACATGAATAGTTTGAGCACCCTGAATTCCAGCAAGGGCACACAATGAAATCAAAGGATTAACACCATCGACTATGGTTTCACCTTCCCCATACGTGTTATTAGTAATTGGAGATTCCAGTTCAGGTTCTAGATCTTCTAACTCTATACTGTTCATCTCTAAAACAAATAATTGTTTAGGAAGATTACATTTATAACCAATGTTGTACTTCTCATCGCAAAAATAACACAACCCCTGAGCCCTTTTTGCCTGCATTTCAGCAGGGGATATAGTTCTCCTAGGTCTGCCTCCAATAGAAGATGGCAAAGTCAATCGAGTCCCCTGATTATAATTGATAGGTTGTGACCTTGTAACAAGGGTCTCCTGATGTTGCCTCTTAACAACTCCTCCTTGTAGTCCCGATGCTCTATTTTGAGATCTAGCATTAGCTAGCTGAGTAGCTTCAGTTAATCTAGCCAACCTAAACACCTTAGACAAGGTTTGTGGTTCATGCATCAGTATAGTCCCGACCAACTCATCCTTTAATCCACCTAAGAAACAGGAAATGGCTTGGGCAGTAGTGAGATTACACTGTGTTAAAAGCCTACTAAATGCAAATTGGAATTCCCTTACTGTTCCAGTTTGTCTTAGTTGCTTAAGTTCAAGCATAGGATCAGCAAAATCATCCCCAAAAGTTTCAGTTATTGCCCTCAAGTACTCATCCCACCCAATTACATTAGGTGGATCTCTACACCGCAAGTAAGCTTGATGCCAAGCTAAAGCCTCATCTTCCAAGTTCATGGCTACCAGCCTTAACCTATGATTTACTGGAGTTTCATCTACAGCAAAATACTGATCTATCCGATACAACCATGTTTTCAGATTTTCTCCATTGAAACGAGGAAAAAGTAAATTGTGATTACGATGGTTACCAGCATGAAATGGATTGGGGCCCAAAATTCCATGACCAACAGTTGGTAGTGGTTCACTTGAACTCGAAGCCGCACCTCTCTCCTTGGCTTGCTGGTGCAGTCGCATCCCATCAACAGAGTCCTTCAGTGATTGGACTAATCGCATCAGCTCTACTTGTCTACGATCCATGTCCAACCTCAATTCCTGATGTCGCTCATCCATAACAGAACGTAGATCCAACTGTTGAGCTGCCAAATCCTCAAATTGCTCCTGGACATTGTATTCAGCTGCTTCAGGAATTGTTTCAGTATTTTTTCGTGGTCCCATAGCTTAAGATTAACCTTACTCTGATACCAATTGATACCAAAATGAAGGTATCAAGGGTGTGAAATGCAGATAAGAAGAAGAAAGAAGAAGAATGAAGAGAAGGATGAAGAACAGGGGAGAAATTGAGAGAGAATGAGAGGGGAAATGAAAGTTATATTGAGCTATCACATTCAAAAATATGCCTTACAAGTACTATCCACTCCTATTAATACTACTTAATCAGAATTAAAGGAAATTACAAGGAGAATTATAATGAATACTAGAAATGAGCATAGGAACTGATTCTAACTACTTTTCCCGCCAAAATAGTAGTCATGCTAATGGTGTGTGACCTTCCAGCTCAGCACTGACGTGGTATCTGCCATGTGACTGAAGTATTACGTGGCTGTTGCACCCAAATTGGTATCATTGACTGCAAGCACAAGAGTAAATAGTTCAAATTGTATCAAAGGCCCTTCCCTCCTATACCTTTCCCTCCCCATCATTAATGGGCATATCCTACAAACTTTAATCTGGAGTTCAGTTTATGTAACACAGGAAAATTTTATTCCAAATGCTCTCTGCAGTGAAACTAATGAAGGAAAAGGTTTCACTTATTAGACTCTTGACGCTTTCACGCAGTCCTTTTCTTCAGCTTGGAGATCAAGACCGTTCACCACTCCTCTTAACAGAAGAGAATACCCAAACGTCCAACGATAGCCAGGGGAGCAGTGGGATTCAACAACAAGAAATTCACACAATGACTTTGCCGTACTACTATGGCAGGTCCTACTTGACTTTATACTGAATATAAGAACATTTGAAGCTACCAATTCCTGTCAAATCACACAACACCAACCATTTAGACTTAGGCATACGAGTTTGCTACATAACACCGATGAAAGAAGAGACAAAGCATCATATCAGCATGTCCCTCTTGTTGTATAACAGGTCTAATATGAGCAAAGAATCTCTTACAGACATTGTGTAAGAGAAGCCAATCATTTTGGCTGTTACAAACAGAGAAATGCCAGAAAAGAAGGGGAAAAAAGAGAGCACATATCAGTAGAGAAGACTCCCACACTCCATCTCTCCCATTACAAGGATGAAACAAATTACAACAAATCCACTATTCGTACCAATTTATAGTAGCTCTTCCGACTACACCATGTACAAGAATCAGATAACAAAGTAAAAGCTTACATGAAGCTTAAGATTAGACCACAGCCAAAAGGCTGGCGCCTCCCCGAGCTATAGGCTCTATTTACTTACATAGAATGAAACTTGTAAATTATCCATTACCTTTGCCCTTAGTAAACTGGCACTAAAATGGTGGTCTCTTCTTCACTAAAGAATAAATCCAGCTAAAGAAAAAGATGCACCAAGTGTCTCATGCGATGCCTTTAATAGTTCCGTTTTAGCACAGCACTCTGGTATGGGGGGAATTAACTCCGTTCTGCCTTCCTCTGAAAACATAGTATGGATGAGCACCATAAACAACAACATACCTAGTGTAATCTCTAGATAAGATAGAGCGTACACAGACCTTACCCTACCTCATAGAGATAGAGAGGTTGTTTCTGATAGACCCCCGACTTAATTAAAGCAATTTGAGAAAGGAGAGCCATAGAGTTTTAAATAATGCATTACCCTTCAATTTACAGACATGAAAGGCTGACACCTAGAGGAAGAATTGAAAGGTAAGGTTCTTCAAATAAACTATGATCCATTTCTTAGAGATGAGCTAAAATAACTTGTTAAAGCATCATCAGGAAATATACAGACAGTCTATTCGTCATAGACTCGTAATGCATTAATAGTAGTAAATTCACAACAAATGATTAAGCAAATAATGAATTTTTAATTTTACCTTCAACTTATTCATCACACGGCAAATTTGGTACACAAACTGCCTAGTTTACCTCTCACTTTCTTAAATACAAGTATATACATCAACTACGAAAATGGAAAAGAAAAAGAGAAAAAAGAAAACACTATCAACCAAAAAGGACCTTTCTTTTTCACACAAGAAGGAGAGATTAACTGCAAGATATTGATCTACTCCGATCTGAATGAAATTGAAGGAACCTATCCTACAGTTTAGCCAACACTACTGTGTGAAGAACTCGCTCTAACCAAAACATGCCGACAAGTAACAGTAGTTAAGAGTTACTGAGCTGAAGAATTCCTGCCTGGCCTTGCCAACACTGTCTGATATTTAACATTCTCAATGATTTCACAACTGCTTATAAGCTCTCATTGAAATTTACTGACCGAGACAACGCTGCTGGGTTTGCTTGTAATACAGTAGAGTTTTCTGAAACCCTATTGTTGTCATCATTCTTCGGCTGAAAAGCACTGAAAGGACTTCCACCAACTGAATCAACGGTATCATGTTTTATTCCCAATGTCGCCCATATAGAACTCTTTGCAGCCTCTCCTGGATCATCAATTCGGAGAGTTTTTGGGACCCAGAGGCACTTCTCAGGATTACTCTCGTTTGAAGGTTCTTCCATGCTACTCAGCGGTTTTTGTACATTTTCATCCCTTGAGTGTTTCCCCAGAGTGGGAGAATTAGGACCAGAAGTCGTAGGTGTTTGGATTAGGGAAACAGTAGCTGGGGGCATCCAAGGAACATTCCAAGAACCTGCTACAGTATAACCCCAATAAGAAGCTGCAGGGTAAAACGGCATAGGAAAACCAGGAGGGCAATAACCAGGAGGAGGGACTGCAGAGTTCCACGGGACAGGACTGCATGGATATGGCCAAGGAGCCCCGGGATAGCAAGTCATGTAAGGTGGAAAGTTATGGCAGTTCTTCTTTAGCAGGTCTGGTACAGTTTTGTTAACCTCATCCTCTGAATTTGCAGAAGTCACTGAGGATCTTCTGGAATGGTCATCTCCATTATCTCCAGCTACGTAACTAACTGGAACCCCGGGCTCTTGTGGTTTATGGAACCCATTTTGTGAGCAATTATGCATTGTTTTGTCAGCAATATTCAAAACTGAAGCCATTGATTCACAGAGTGGTGTAGGGGAGCCAAATGCAAGAATAGGTTGTTGTACTCCATTTGGATAAGCTGTTTGTGCATTCGAAAGTGTTTCAGAGACAGATATTTGACGGTAATGTGGAATTGAGTTCTTGTTTTTCCGACGACCAGCACCTACAGGCACATTCCTCATGGTCCCACCAGCTGTCCAATATCTCTGGCAACTCTTGCAGAAGTGTCTAGGCTGATTCACATTGTAATTGTTGAAATAACAAAATTTGGTTTCCATGCTGTTGCACCGGGGACATGGAATTATCTTGTCTGGCTTTTTGAGGATTTTCTCTTGCGAATTACTTGCTTCTCCTTGCTCTTCTTCACTTTTTGAAGGTCTTGTTGAACAGTCGTTATCAACAGGTGGCTCCTTCATACTATCAGTTCTAGTTGGTTCTGAATTCTGATCCTGCAACACCTTGCCAGTCAAAATTTCCATCTCGTCCTCGTCATCATCCAGGTTTCCTCCAAAATCATCCTGTACGCGTGATGCATTTCACAGAGTAGTAAATAGAGTCAGTAAAATTTTCTTTTAAACTAATGAAATTATTAGAAACTTAGGGAGATCTCAAAAGAAAAGGTTCAACGAGATTTCACTAGTCTTTTATCACTATTGAGACAACCAAGCTTTTCCGTCGGTAAGAAGCATGTGAAAGTTGTAGAGAGAAATATTGAGAGGCCAAAGGTAAAACAAAACTGATAGTAGATTATATATCATGAAGGGACTAACCATGTCAAATTAAGGATACGAGTGCATAACAAAATAAGTATCTGCATCCAACTGAATGTGGAAATTAGAGTATTCATATCATTACACAAATTATTATTTTTTTATGACAAGGGAAATCCGCAACCGCTACCCTTTGGGTACTCACAGGGTAAAACTCCCGCTCCTATGCAATAGCTCGCAAACTACATAGAAGAGGTAACCCGCACTAGACAAGCCTGGTGCAATGAGCTCGACCCAGAAGGCAAACCCCTTGCTTTCGCTGGCAAGGGGTTTCGAACTTGAGACCTCCAACATAGAAGTCCCAAGCCCAAAGCCCAAACCATTGGGCCACCCCGAAGGGTATCATTACACAAATAAAAGGTATAAAGTCAAAGTTTCTCATTTAGCAAGTCTTACAATTAAACTACTCTTTTTTTGCACAAATAGATTGCCCATTACAAGAACTCAACATAGAAAAGTAAAACAAATCTGAGTTATAGAGATGTGAAAGTTGTTAAACAATGATTGTTCCGTTGCTGGATTAAAATTGAACTCTAATCAATCTCCTTCCAACTGTAAAATAGTTGAACTTCTATAAATTGACAGTTAAAATATATTTTTACAACAAGCAACCTTCTATAACATGTTAATTTGCACTGACACTTAAAAATTAGATTACAGAGCCTAGTTATATCCATTGTAAAATTAATAACTTTCCATTTCAAAATGAAAAAGCATTCATGGAGATAAGGAGCTAATGGTGTTCTTGGTATGGAGGAAAATCTTTCCATGTTTGGTTGAACAAAATTATGGATATTTTCCTTAAAAACGAGGAAAACGACTTCCTTAACGTAAGTAGGGAAAACAAGTTCCACAAGTGAACTTCTATGTTTATCGTACACTCACTGCCCACCAACGCACCCCGCCCCTATCCCTTGACCATCCCACCACTCCTATATTGTTTTGCATGATTACATATAAATGCTCTACAAATAACATATTTTTGCTTACTTACCAAACCACTAAAAAATAAGTAAGAAACCAACTTGTTTTTCAAAAAACACATTTTCCATGAAAATATCCTCCCTCATACCAAACACAAAATGTTGAGAACACGAAGAAAACAAGGAATCCCAATTAAGAGAAATTTGTGACTACCTAACCTAATCAAAACATGGATAAATTTAACCGTCTTTCCTTCAAAGGAATTAATTTAATCTAGGGAAATCTTAGTAACTTAATTGATTGACGGGATTATTCTTAGCTCAATTG